CCCTGCTCCCACCCTCTCACTCCACCCCACCCACTCACTACAGCATGCGCAAAAGTCCCAGCGCTCATCTTCATCTACCATCACGCCATTAAAACACAACACGAGAGTCAAAGACATAAAACATAAAACACAACTCACAACAAACAACACACAAAACCAAATACGGTGCATTTTGAATAAGTCAAAAATGAGTCAACAAATAACAAACAGCACTTCACTTCTATCAGAGGTGCGGGGTCATTGGTCTTTGGAAGGTAAATAGCACTAGTGTCTACTGAGAGGTACCTAGTACTGATATGCAGCCATTACTGAGAGGTACCTAGTACTGAGATGTAGCCATTACCGATATTTAGCTAGTACTGAGATGTAGTAGATGTAGCAAGTACTGAGATGTAGCAAGTACTGAGATGTAACAAGTACTGAGATGTAAGTAGTAGATGTAGCTAGTACTGAGATGTAGCCAGTACTGAGATGTACTAGTACTGAGACGTAGCTTGTACTGAGACGTAGTCATTACTGAAATTTAGCTAGTTCTGAGATGTAGATGTAGCTAGTACTGAGAAGTAGCTAGCAATGAGATGTAGTAGATGTAGCCAGTACTGAGATGTAGCAAGTACTGAAATTACTGAGATGTAGCTAGTACTGAGATGTAGATGTAGCTAGTACTGAGAGGTAGCCAGTACTGAGATGTAGTAGATGTAGCAAGTACTGAGATGTAGCTAGTACTGAGATGTAGCAAGTACTGAGAGGTAGTTGAGATGTAGCTAGTACTGAGAGCTAGATAGTACTGAGATGTAGTAGATGTAGCTAGTACTGAGATGTAGATAGTACTGAGATGTAGCCAGTACTGAGATGTAGATGTAGCTAGTACTGAGATGTAGTCAGTACTGAGATGTAGCTAGTACTGAGAGGTAGATAGTACTGAGAGGTAGATAGTACTGAGAGGTAGCAAGTACTGAGATGTAGCTAGTACTGATTACTGAGATGGTTCTTTATTTTATTCAGATGTAGCAATTACTGAGATGTACCTAGTACT